CTGTGTTCCGGAAATTTGTTTGACAATATTATAACGGGTTTTAAGTTTTCTCTCCATCGCTTTATGATCTGCGTCTGAAAAAAGCCATAGTGCATTTTTTAATCGATTTTAGAAATTGCCCATGTACAAAGCTCTTTAGCAGTTGTAATGAGATGCCCTGCAAACTTGCTTTAGCTTGCTGTGAACTTGGAAGAGCGATTGATTGTATGCTTGGAAACATTACTCACCTTACTAATCAGGCTAAGACCTTGTTGTCCTCTGCTGTCCGAATAAGTCGTGTCCACTCTACTCGATCTATGGCCACAATTCACCAGCCTTGTAGTTTGCGAAGGGTCCGCAGACCACCTTCCACTTGGTCGATCCACCCTGCCCGCTGCGCGCCTCTTCTTCTTGTTCCTGTTGGGTCGCTTTCGAGAACCATTTTCACTAGGTCGTCGTGCGGCATTCTTACGACGTGCCCAGCCGACCGTAGTCACCCATTTTTTTCAATGTGGGCGATGGATGGTTCTCCCAGCAGCTGGTGCAATTCGTGGTTCATTCGCATCCTCCACGTTTCGTCATCCATCTGCACTCCACCGTAGATGGTACGCAACACCTTCCGTTCGAAAACACCAAGGGTTCTCCACGACCATGGTCCAGATCTCGTGGCCGTAGAGGACCACCGGTCTAATCAGCGTCTCGTAGATAGTCAACTTCGTGCGTCCTCCGGAGTCCAAAGGAGGCACAATACCTGTCATAATGCGTCTTTGAATGTCTCTGCTGGTATCTGTAGAGTTGGGAAATTAAATAAATCACTATTTCATTTACGTTTATGATTCACCCCTAAGAAATTATAGTTTTAGTTGATGACTTGACTTCACCCCTGACGAACGACGGCAGAGAGGAGACGGGAGCTCTTGATGCTCGGGGGCAGTCGTGATCGAACCTTTATGGAAAGCGGTAGCTAGACCTCTTAGTAGCAGGAGTGTTTTTGGAAGTGCAAATAGGAGTGATTTCAAGGCCGGCGTGATTCTACAATTTGGCGCAGCCGGTAGCATTAATTGAGGTGAGTAATGCAGGATAATGGTGCTATGTTTGTTAATATTCGATTCGGAAAAATTTTTGATGTTCGGGAGCGTTTTTATTTTCTCGTAATGTGAGAACAAAATGGCGGCTAGGATGAAGAAAAAGTGGTAAAATGAAATCGACAGCGGGTCCGATAAAATGTCGTAGCGCTCACACTGATACATAGCAAAAAGGAGGCAAAAGTGAAAAGCGAGACCGGTTCATAGCTGCAGCGCTGGTTTGTTAAAGTAGAGGAAGCGAGACCGGTCGATGTCCGAAGTGCTCACCATTGTATAGAAGCGAAAATTTTAGCGAGACCGGTTGAGGACCGCAGCGCACGAAATCGAAGCTTTCTACGTGTATGTGGAGTAAATAGCGAGGCCGGTTGACGACCGCAGCGCGCAGCAATACATAGAGGTATAAATATAAGCGAAGCCGGTTGAGGACCGTAGCGCACACAATTAAAGCTCACCACATGCGTGTAAAAAAATAGCGAGACCGGCTGACGACCGCAGCGTGCATGAATACGAAGAAGCAAAACGAAATGATAGCGAGGCCGGTTGAAGACCGAAGCGCATATGCTAGCATTGTGTCTGTGTATGGAAGAGAAAAAAATTGCAAGGCCGGTTGAGGACCGCAGTGCTCACAAATATTTAGAAGTAGGTAATAATGCGAGTCTGGTTGATGATCGAAGCGCTTCTGTACAAGCTCTGGTAAATAGAAAGCAAGCGAAAAAGTGGTAAATAATGACAAACAACGAGTTTTTAGAATTGTGTACATGATGATGTTTTGTTGCTGAGGACAGCCAGTAGTGTAATAAGATAATTAAAGCAAACTTAATTACGGGTTATTGAATTGTTAATCACAACATGCATTTGCTGAGTTAATTAGGCTACATTTTCGCTATAAATTTCGAAAGATAGATTTTTTTAATTCGAGGATCTGTTTTGTTACAGATGGATCCGGACAAGGATTGGCCGTTGGAGCCATTTAATGACGCAGTTGTCACTTCCGATTTACGTCGTGAATGGGAAGAATGGTTCAGAGCGTTCGAACTTATCGTAGAATTGAAGACGATTGAGTCGCAACATGACAAGCTTGTTCTACTCCTGGCACGAGGAGGCCGAGGCCTTCAGCGAATTTTCTACAACTTGCGACCGGTGGCTGATGAAATTTATCCGGAGCCGGCTAAAGTACCATTTCTGCCAGTAGAGACACCGGAGTACGACAACGCAATCAAAAGATTGAGCAACTTCTTCGTGGGAAAACGCAACGAGCGCATCGAGCTGGAGGTATTCCGGGCGTTGAAGCAATCGCCTGATGAATCCTTCAACCATTTCATACTGAAGTTACGTACACAAGCCGCTCGTTGCGACTTCCGGGTTCGAGAAGAGATGGAAATATTGCATCAGGTAGCGATGGGAGCCCATGACGAACGAGTCAGGGACAAAGGTCTTGAAAATTCAATGAACCTGGATGAGCTGACCAACTACGCTGTAAACAGAGAGATGTTATTGAAGCAGAAAGAAAAGGCACTTCCTTTCAAGGCTGAAGTAGATTATGGTACTGTGGCTGTGGTCAAGCAGGAATGGAACAGGGAGCCTAGACCGACAAATTTGGGATTGCGTGAGAGACGACGGGAACAGAGCAGCCGTATGGAGTGTGAAAATTGTGGATCATGGAAGCATCGAAAGGATTCTCGGGAATGTTCTGCCCGAAACGCCCGGTGCAACAACTGTGGGCGTACCGGTCATTATGCAAGAAAGTGCAGATCAAGACACGGAAATGCCAGGAACTGGAAGCGTTCATTTGGTGAAGCCAACTCGGTGCGAGAGGACGAACGTCGTCGTTTTGGCTACCGCTACCGGGAGGACCCTGAGGAAGGACCATCTCGACGTCCTAGCCCGGTGTTGAAGGTAGAATAATTTATATCTTCCTTCTTTTTGATTTACAATTATATTTCAGTTCAAGTTGAATTCGATAAGTTTTGATTTTTTTTTGTAAGCATATGTTGAGGGCTTGTAGAATCACTCACCGCATATTTTTTTTCTGATTAGTGTGGATTACTAATAACTTAAATTAAACGGAAAATAAAATAAAACTGAAATGATGTTTATATTTGATTTCTTTATTAAAACTAGGGAAGTACAACGAATGACGGAAAAATAACCTGCAAGATTGATGAGCTTCCAGTGGCATTCTTAATAGACTCTGGTGCCGCCATCAACACAATCACGGAAGAAGATTGGAAGGCACTTGTAGAGAGCAAGGCAAAGATATACAAGAAGAGGTATAACTGTGATCGACAGTTCACTGCATACGCCAGTCAGGAACCTTTGCAGGTTGAGCTAATATTCGAAGCTTGGATTTCAATTAATGATTTCAAACCACGAACCTACGCCGAGTTTTTTGTCATTAAGGGAGCCAAAAAGTCTTTGCTTTGCAAGAGGACTGCGGAAGAACTCAAAGTATTAAAAGTTGGCCTTGATGTTGCAAATGTCGAAGTTGCGGATGATGTTTTTCCGAAATTCCCGAATATTCAAATTAAGTTCTCGATCGATCCAGACATTCCTCCACGGAAAGTAGCATACTTAAGAATCCCAGCTGCGATGGAAGAGAAGGTGGACAACAAAATTATGCAGATGTTGCATAGCGATGTCATTGAACCGGCCGTAGGACCGCCGGAGTGGATATCTCCAATGGTTGTGGTTCCGAAAGGGAAGAGCGATATCCGCTTGTGCATAAATATGAAATACCCTAATCAAGCTATCCAGCGCGAACATTATCCGCTTCCCATGATCGACGCTTTACTGAACAAGCTAAGGGGCTCGAAAATCTTTTCTAAACTGGATATAACATCTGCATTTCACCACATTGAGCTTCACCCTGATTCCCGTGGAATAACCACTTTCATGACCAGTAGGGGTCTCATGAGATTTAAAAGGTTGATGTTCGGCATCAACTGTGCGCCGGAAATTTTTCAGCGGGTGATGTCCGAAATGCTGGCTGGGATCGAGGGAATAATAATATACATTGACGATATAGTCGTTTCTGGAAAAACACGTGAAGAACATGATGCTCGGCTAAAGGAGGTATTGGCAGTTCTAAAGGCAAATAACGCGACGCTGAACAAGGAGAAGTGTGTGTTTGGTGCAACGAAACTTGAAATCCTGGGCTATGAGGTCATCGCAGCCGGGATCAGCCCTTCTGAAAACAAGATCTCTGCAATTCAGAATTTCCGACGACCAGAGACGAAGGAAGAAGTTCGTAGCTTCCTTGGACTCGTCAATTTCGTCGGGCAATTCATTCCGGATCTATCTACGAGGACTGAGCCACTTCGTCAGTTTATTAGGGGAGACGTAGAGAATTTCGGCGATGCCCAGCAGGTGGCTTTTGACGATTTACGAAATATGCTTGCAAGTACTGTTCGTAAGCTGGGATTTTTTGATCCCCGAGATAATACGGAACTGTTTGTAGATGCATCACCCGTTGGTCTGGGCGCAGTTCTAACTCAAAAGGACAAATCGAACAAGTCACGAATTATAAGTTTTGCTTCAAAGGGCTTGACAAAAGCAGAAAGAGTGTATCCACAAACTCAGCGGGAGGCACTGGCGGTTGTATGGGCCGTCGAAAAATTCTACCCATATCTATTTGGAAGTAGATTTACAGTATTCACGGACCATAAGACTTTAGAGTACATCTACGGAGGAAAACACCAAAATGGAAAGCGTGCTTGTACCAGAGCTGAAGGTTGGGCCTTGCGTCTTCAACCTTATGACTTCACGGTGCATCATATTCCAGGCTCAAGTAACATCTCGGATATTTGTTCTCGATTGTGTACTTCATCAGAAGAGCCATTCGATGAAACTACAGAACATTATCTCTGCGCGGTAGGGGAAGGGCCAACCGCCATTACATTAAAGGAAATAAAATCCGAAACGGCAAGTGATGAAACCATGACGGCGGTTATCAAGGCTATTCATACTCAGCAATGGTCACAGGACTTATATCGGTATCAGGCATTCTCAAAAGAGCTGGGAGTGATCGAAGACATCGTAGTTAGAGAGGATCGAATTGTGCTTCCGCTAAAACTGCGACAGAGAGCATTACGGATTGCTCATAGAGGTCATCCTGGTATAGTTGCGATGCGGCGAAACTTACGTGAGAAGGTATGGTGGCCATGTATGGATCGCGATGTTGGTGATTATATACAGCAGTGTGCAGGTTGCGCAGCGGTGAGTGGACATGGAGTTCCTGAACCTATGATGCGGAAGGAAATGCCAGAGCGGGCTTGGCAGGATATTGCAATCGACTTCTTTTCTGCTAAAGAGTGCGCAACATTTCTGGTAATCATCGACTACTATAGTCGCTTTACGAAGGTTATTGAAATGAAAGGCACTACAGCAGCGAAGACTATTGAGTCTCTTGAAGGCGTATTTGTGGAGCAAACGTACCCCGAAACAATCAGAAGTGATAACGGACCTCCGTTTTCATCCGAGGAATTTCTGAGCTACTGCATCTCAAAAAACATACGGCTTATCCGAACCATTCCTTACTGGCCGCAGATGAATGGTTTGGTGGAAAGGCACAACCAAGGCGTATTGAGGGCTTTACGAATAGCCAAGGCAACGAAGATAGATTGGCGAAAAGCGGTCAGAGACTACGAGTACATGTATAATACTACTCCGCATACGGTGACCGGTAAGCCACCGTTGGAACTATTGACTGGGAGACCAGTAAAGGATCTGTTGCCGTCGATGCGTACTGAGCCGTATTGGTGCCGGGATGAAGAAACACGGGACCGTGATGCAATCAAGAAAATGCAAGGCAAGATCTACGCTGACAACCGAAGGAAGGCAAAGGAATCGGAAATTGATGTGGGTGACGAAGTAATGCTCAAAAATTACGAGACAGGCAAATTGGAACCAAATTTCAAGCTTGAAAAGTTCGTGGTGGTTAAGAAAACTGGAAGTGATGTCATCGTCAAAAATGAAGAAGGAGTAACGTATCGCCGTTCCGTTTCCCATTTAAAGAAGTGGCCATCTTCACGAAATGCAGGTGGACTGCCCGAAACTCCGGATCATTCGATGGATTCATTCCTACAAACGGCGAAACCATCAATATCCCGAGAAGTTGAGCTGGCATCAGAAAGAGAAGCGGAAGCACAGAACTCCGATCTGGAAGGAAGCTCCCCTCAACAGCGCCCGAAGCGAATGAAGAAGTTGCCGGCAAGATACAACGAATAAATGGTCATCGTGGTAGGACCAAGATTCTGAATTTTTTTTTTCTTTTTCTTTTTTTTTCTCACAGCAGAAAAGGGATGTAGAGTTGGGAAATTAAATAAATCATTATTTCATTTACGTTTATGATTCACCCCTAAGAAATTATAGTTTTAGTTGATGACTTGACTTCACCCCTGACGAACGACGGCAGAGAGGAGACGGGAGCTCTTGATGCTCGGGGGCAGTCGTGATCAAACCTTTATGGAAAGCGGTAGCTAGACCTCTTAGTAGCAGGAGTGTTTTTGGAAGTGCAAATAGGAGTGATTTCAAGGCCGGCGTGATTCTACAGTATCATTTTCGGTGGTCACCAGTTAGCCCAAATACACGAACTCGTCAACCACCTCGATTTCATCACCATCAATCTGAACTCGGGGTGGGAGGCTAACCTTGTCTTCCCTAGAACCTCTTCCTCTCATGTATTTCGTCTTCGATGCATTGATGGCAAGTCCAATCCACCTAGCTTCAGCGTTCAGTCTGATGTACGTTTCCGCCACCGTCTCAAAGTTCCGTGCCATGATGTCGATGTCATTGGCAAAGCCAAGAAGCTGAATGGACTTCCTAAATATCGTGCCACTCGTGTCTATCCCAGCTCTTATGATTACACCTTCTAATGCGATGTTAAATATCAGACACGAAAGTCCATCACCTTGCCGTAACCTCCTTCGAGATTCAAAGGGACTCGAGACGTACATCACTCGATCCATCGTCGCCGTGCATAATCGCGTCAGTCTATCCGGAAATCCGTACTCGTGCATAATCTGCCATAGCTGACCACGATCGATTATGTCGTATGCGGATTTGAAATTGATGTACAAATGATGTGTGGGCACGTTGTATTCGCGGCAATTCTGCAGAACCTTCCAAACCGCGGGCACCCATGAATCCCGCCTGGTATTGCCCCACGAACTCTCTTGCAAATGGAGAGTACCTTGTAGGCGGCGCTCAGCAGTATCATCGCGCAGTAGTTGCAGCAATCCAACTTGTCGCCCTTTTTGTAGATTGGGCGTTACATAGGTAACGAATTTATAGCAATATTTTGATAAATGAGGGATTCCATCCAGAATGACCTGAAAAAACCTGAAATCGTGCTCGACCATCTACGATTTGGATGATACTTTGCCCATATTTTCAGTATGATAGACCAAGTATTTTCCGCAGGAGAGGAGACCCTTTTGACTCAAGGGTAATTTTTGAAAAGGGCCTATGTGTTTTTGCACACATGCTTTAAAAAAATGTAGTTCGAAAACAGTTGGTTGTAGAAAAAAATTTACTAAGAAGGAGTTGTAGGAAACTAATAAGGCTTTATAAAAATATACACACGGAATTTTTGTTTCGTTTTTTTTTTACAAAAAAAAATAAAAATAAACCTCAAAATTCAAATGACAATAAAAACGTATTTTTGATTTTTTTTATATTTTTTAATAAAAACTTGAATAGAAAGCAGAAGTTTTGAAAACAACTGTAGGATGAACAAACTTTCAATAAAAAGGTTTTTCTAAGAGGAACTTTTGAGGCATTTTTGAAAGTTTCATTATTTACGGCAAAATGTTTAGATTAATGTTAGTATATGATTATAAAAATCATTTCAAACGATAGTGCTCATAACGACAAACTTCCTAAATATAACCGTTTTCGAGATATTTCAAATTTACTTTCATCAAAATCAATTTGTTGTAGAAAATAAGCCATTTTCATAAGTTAATCGTGATTCTCCATCAGCATTGATAAGTTTAGCAAGATACACATATATTTACCTTCAATTTGTCTTGTGACGATTGAACGATCAGACAACCCGTTTAGAATTTACAGAGGAAATGAAAACACTATTATTTTAGGTATAGAAACCAATACAAGTTAAGTTGCACTTATTTTCATTATCAAGCGTAGTTTCATCCTATTTAAGTTGTTAATATTGATGTACCTATCCATCTTATTATTTTAGGTACATTATAATGTCTTCCATGGTATTTTTCATGAAAAAAAGAGCTTCTCTGTTAGAGTAGCTTCAATACCAAAACAATATTTATACCTGAATATCCAAATGGTATCTACGTTTGTATATAAGCATGACCATCCTTTTGAAAACAGACATCACTAAAAAAATCTTTTTGAGTGAACATGTATAATTTGAATAAAGAATTCAAGAAGGTCGAGTGTTGCAAGCCGTTTCCTAATAAACGGTGTTCGTCAAAGCTTCGTAAATTATCCGAAAATTTGATTGAAAAACATAAGTTCCTAGAGTGGAAATTTAATTTGGATACATCTCTATCAATCTGTGATACGTGTCGCTTGAATTTAAATAGAATCGAACCATGTGCTGAAAATCTGGAACTAGAAGTGCAACCGTCAGTCCTGGATATCGCGGAGCCGCAGCCATCTACATCTCGACATGGCCTTGAAGAAATACCATCAACTACGTCAATAACAACAGCATCATCTCAAGATAGTGGAGAGCAACAATTTTCCAGGACGCATAATATTGAGCTATTCAACAAGGGCATAGCTGGTATCAACGTTTCGCCAATATCGACAAAAAAATTCCAGAATGTTAACTTAGAAAGTATAAAGTGGTATGTCCATATAACCAATGGCATTAAGAAGTCTTTGTAAATTTAAAACGAAGTACAATATTGATGTTGAATGGCACTTTTTTTGCAACTTCGCATGGCAAGGGACCATGTGACGCGATTGGTGGCACATTAAAACGAACGGCAAGGAACGCAAGTGTGGCTGTAGAACACGAACATCCAATCACAAGTGCAGCAGAGTTATATGCATGGGCTAACCAGAAGAGTAATGATTATTTCACAAAAATTTCATTTTGTTTTGTGTCACAAAAGGAATACGAACAGAGGGCTGCAGAATGGAAAAGCATTTTTGAAAAGGCCAAAACGATCCTAGGTACAAGAAAATATCACTGTATTGATCCGATTTCCGAAAATAAAATATCAGCGAAACTATTTTCGAATGACGAAAAACGCACCATTCATAACTTATAAAAACATGCCAATCAAAAGTTCATCAAATAAAAATATATCCAACGAAAAGGTTTATGTACAAATTATTAATATTAAAGACGATCGAAAGTAATAGGGTTTTTGATCTAATTTCCGTCCTACTACTACCCGCGCTTTACCTCTCTTTTCTGAACGAATTTAAACAAAAAAATTGAATATTTCTGTCAAAGATGACTTGCAAATTTATTCACCTTTCCATACGTACCGTTGGATTTGATAAAGAGTCACAAATTGATGAGATATTGTCTAAAATCTAACACTGCTTCTTGATTCTAAATTCGTTCTACGAGTTTCAATTCCGTCCTAACGCATTGAAACGCCATTAGATTTTCTTCGTCCTACGGATAAACATAGAAAAAGGGGATTCACTAGGAGCGCTTCTTTTGTTTTGAGAACAATGAGCGTAAATATTCATACAATGCGCTCTAATAGGATTTATGTTGTAGCTAATGAACTAGCGCATCGGAACAAACCTATTATTGATTTGTGCACGGTGAAATCATTGATATTATTGATCTTTACTGATCGATAGAACGGAAATGGGCGATTACGACGAAGTAGCGCTCTACCCTAAATGTAAGATACAAATAAAAACGCATGAGTATTTAATTTATTTATCTTATTTATCTTATAAATTTAAAACCAATTTTCCAATAGTCTATTGGTGGAAGGGTAAGTTGAAGGTAAGTTCATGCATATCTTGCAAAACTTATCATATTTCATGGACAATCACGTATAACTTACGAAAAGGGCATATTTTCTACAAAAAAAAATGATTATGATGCAGGTAAATTTGAAATATCTCGAAAACGGTTACATTTAAGGAGTTCATCGATATGAGCACTATCGTTTGAAATGATTTTTATAATCATATACTGTCATCAAACTGAAAATTTGGCCGTAAATAAAGAAAGTTTCAGAAATGCCTTAAAAGTTGCTCTTAGAAAAACTTTTTTGTTAAAAGTTTGTCCATCCTGGAGTTGTTTTCAAAACTTCTGTTTTCTATTCAAGTTTTTATTTAAAAAATCATAAATACGTTTTTTTTTTGTCATCTGAAGTTTGACGTTTATTTTTAATTTTTTTTTTTGTAAAAAAACGAAAAAAAAATCCGTGTATATTTTTTTTATAAAGCCTTATTAGTTTCCTACAACTCCTTCTTAGTAAATTTTTTTCTAGAACCAACTGTTTTCGAACTACATTTTTTTAAAGTATGTGTGCAAAAACACATAGGCCCTTTTCAAAAATTACCCTTGAGTCAAAAGAGTCTCCTCTCCTGCGGAAAATACCTGGTCTATCATACTGAAAATATGTGCCAAGTATCATCCAGATTGAAGATAGTCAAGTTTGGTGACTGACCGATTTGGCGTGGAATTGGTCAAACGATTCATCTTTACATTTCTTCATGAAATAGTGACGATCGTTATCGATTTTTCATATGAATGTCTTTGAAGATCGATGTATCGAAAATTAAAGAAATTTAACGAAATGGTTGGTCGGGTTGATGATGACATTTGTTCTTCAGTTATCAAAATGGCGTCCGAGTAAGAGGAGCAACGCGTCAAAATTTTGCACGCGCATCGTGAAAATCCCAACTACTCGCACGCAAGGCAGACAGCTTCCTGGGCAGATATGAAACTGTCGAAGTACACTAATAGCGAATTCGTTTATTATCGGGGTTGGAACCAGTTCCAACCCAGTGCGAAACCGAACTTTTTGTCAGTGCGAACCTCAACCTGAGCTAGGTTTTAAAAACAAACGAGCAAACTGACGTTTGTCAGAAAACAAGCAGACCCAATCTTGATACCCGATCCAGGTTGGAACTGAATAATAAACGAATTCGCTATAAGAAATATCTGGTTTGGCAGGCTCTATCTGTACCTGTGACTTGAAAAGCGCCAATTTTATTGCAACCGGGACCGTCAACTAGGCACTTTACGCGAACGAGTATCCAGAAAAATGTCTGCTGCCTTTTTTTGAAGGCTATCGAATATTGGGCCGTCGTCAGGCGGAACCTGAAGAAGACGCAAAAAACTGTTAGAAGCTAATAGCAAACTGGCTTTCTGCGGCGAACAAAGTGGACGAGATGGCTGTACAAAATCTGATGGCAAGAATTAAACGAAAGGCCCGGAAAATCGAAAATCGGATGATCAACCACAGAGCGATTTTCGCAAAATATAATTTATTTTCGAAGTGAAAATTCACTAAATGGAACACAGCCTAAATTAATATGATAATGTTTTTTCTTAAGTCTAGTCGAATTGCAGTCTTCAACAAAGGCCCTGGCTAGAGTAGACGCGATGCGACTCACGCAAGAAAATAATAAATAACAAGATTATTTTGAATTTGCCGCGTCGCGTGTCGCGTCTACTCTGGTCGCGGCTAAAGTTGTTCTGCAAAGCATTTCAAATCTATTTCCGAGGTTTGGTGGAATATGAGCAATATTGTAATTATTGGCAAACAAATTAACAGGTTTAAAAATTCTCCCTCAAATCCAGATCATAACAGATATCCAGATATATGTGCTTACGGTGCGCATAGTGAATACCCCTTATATGCTATATGTATATACATGAGTTATCTGAGTCCACTAACCCCTCATTTTATCTATCAAACTTTTTTCATAGCGAATCAAAACAAACATTGTACTAGAATTTTGACAAGAATGGAGTGCGTTATTCGATTTGCTTGGGACCAATAGGCTAGTCAAGTAGTGAGCCAATTTAAAATCGTTAGTTGCCACCGGTTGTATAATGCTCGATTCAATAATTTAAATAATTTAAAATTTTATATTTTATTATCAAAGCTTCCAATAATAAAGCCTAATAAAACCATGATATGCTACAGCTGTGCCATCTTTTATTTCATGCCAACAACTGTAAGCATACAAACAAATCTCTCGCAATCCCTTCATTATTTAGAGAAGTCCGGAGTGATTTGAGATTTGGGCGTAATTGTATTTGTAAACAAACACGTCAATCGCCAATTTCTCGCGAATAAAAGCTCAATTTTGAAAACTAATAACACTATTAGGTAGAAGTATGATTCTTCTATCATTTGGTATAGTTTGTTTATAAGATTGAGCTTTTATTCACGAGAAATCAGTGATTGACCTGTTTGTTTACAAATACAATTACGCCCAAATCTCAAATCACTCCGGAAGTGCCGCATGCAGAGGAAGGTACTAAAACAACATTTCAAATTGACGTTTCGTTTTTCCAGCTGGGCCTTGAGCAGAGAGCGGCAGAGAGTCGAGAGCATCAGAAACAACATAACTGAGCATAGTGGGAGCGATGCTACCCTCTTCGCCCATCTCGCTCTAGCATAGGTGCAAAAAACAGCGCCTCTTCGGCAGAGAGTATGTTGTTCCCGTACATACTCTGTTATTTGTATCTCGTATATGAATTCATTCACACAAAGATAGGTGCTGGTATAGTGGATATACGGACAGTTAGACATTTTTGTTTTGTGCCATACCCTCATTCTGCGCTGGATAGTTTACATCGCGACAACGCACGTCCTTCGGTACGGAAAAATATTTTCATTCAAATTTCTAATTCTACTGCCCAGTAGGTTATCCAGTGGCACTTGTTTACTTACTTCATATTACGGTGGCTAAGTGATAGATATTTCAAAACCAAATTCTACTTAAGTGCTAGTTCAGTAGTGAACTTCGTTTACCGTCGAATGCAGTATATTCGACACGAAACGCAGGTGGAATCTTTGGTTGTAATATGGTGCAGTCAATATAATTTTCAGTGAAACGAAAATCGATTTGGAGTGAACCCTTGTGTTAAAATTTTAGTTCCAGAAAAGATATCCAGGTGTGGTTGAAGTGCTCATGCAAAGTTTGGACAATTACACCGAAGATGTAACCTTATAAGTGATAAATGTTCGTAGGGTCTGTTTGAAAGTTTTACGCTAATAGTGGGTTTGGTTACATCAACAGCCATTTTCGTATTAATTTCAAAGGAAAATTCAAACGTGCAAATTAGTGTGTCGTGCAAGAAATGCTGCATAGAAGATAATTTTCAATCTAACGAATAATCGGGGCTGCGCATTGTTTGATTGATTATACGAAAGTCAAGTGTTTTATTGGTGCGATTTATTCCCGAAAAATCTATCAAGGTGGAACATCCTACTATGAAAACTCGTCTAACGACACTGACATGGCGAGGTTCAGCATCCGTGGATCCCAGGTTCTCGGCTTCGATGCTGCCTTGGTCCATTGCAGACATCAGGAATCACGAGAGTTATGTAACTGTAAGTATTTCAATTCCATGTTCCCCGGGGCAAACCCCCAACTTCAGCATATCAAGTGTTTTTCACGGCACTGCACAACCTCGGGCCCGATTTTGATATGCTGCCTTCCATACAGATTTTCATTCGTTTCCACACGCTCTCGCAGCCCACTGCATAAAAAATATTGATTTTCTTGACTCATACATTCTTCTATTCATGAAAACCACACTCGCTCTTAGGAACACTCGTTGCAATGGCTAAGATAGTAGAATTATTTTTCTGCTGCATAGAAGAAAGGATAAAGGTTTAGGTATGTCTCTATTTCAACGGTACCAGCAGTAGGACGATAAGAATAAAAGTATCTCCTTGAATACTTGAATATCGTCGAGTGTTTCGAACGTGAAACTAACCAAAGAAATGAATAAGGTAGATGTACCAGTTATGGCCATACGTTCCTATTACGGTGTGTTCTAATGATTTCCCATGGAATTCATATATGTCATAATTGGAACGCACCATAATAGGAACATTGTTTAATTTCATCCCCTGTCCAAATTTTAGTCATAGAACACTTACGGGACGGCAGACGGAGTAAAACGGGCAGGTACTCGGGAAAACGTGATAATATTAATTTTAATTGTATTTCAAACTTGCTATCTGGCATCATTTTAAGCTACTACACTACCAAATAAAGCTTTTTTTGGTTATATGTTAAAAGTGATTTAAATTATATTTCTAAGTTATTATCGGTATTTGATAACAAGAATGCACTTATTTTCAACATTAACGACATAAATTTCCTTGGGGTGCCTATTTTAACCCCATCAACCCTATATGTCAAAATTAAGTGTCATCTTAAAGTTACTACGAATCAGAAGCACTGTGAATGCCACTTAACAACTGGTATCTCAGTTGTCGCTAGTTGCAAATTAAACATTTTTCAGTTACCGTTAGTAAACATGTCTTCAAAATCGCATCGAACGGTTTAAGACCGAGACCTTATTTCAAGCAGTAAATTTCAAAGCTCATTACTTGCAGCATGGTAACATCACATCTTCGAGCATCTTTTAGATAGGCTCTCTACTATTTTTCTTGAGAAAAACCCGTTTCTTGGAATAATAAATAAATTGATAAATCTTGTTTCAGCTTAGGTTGCTTCCACTGATTTCGGAATTATGAATTCATTAGTTGTTATGTTGATATTTTGTATTTGTTACAAAAGAGGTTGTAAAGTAATGTGTTTGGTACGTAAACCTGTCAATTTCGCTTTCATAGGATCACAATTAGCGGTTTGGCAATTTCACTCAGCCACTCACTCGATAATGAATTCGAATTCGAACTACTGACACTATTGATACTTAGGATTTATAGGTATGTTCGAAAAACTGGTCTACTGCTGGGGATCCATCTCAGAATCTTTAGCAAATTCCATATTGAAGCTTAATTAAAATTAAGCACATTTAAAACACTAATCCTTTTCATTGTTCATCCCTACTGGTACTTTACGCCGGCTCTCAACAGTTGTTAATAAAGAGCTTTCAAAGCCTGTGCCATGTTTGCATTAGTAGAATTACATAGGTATGTGGTAATTACAAACATAACCCAGTCAGCTCCAGCATGGTCTCGCTTTATAGCTGCGTCTTTACCGACAGAGCAAAGGGAGGCCTTCAAAACTAATACAGTAACTAAATTGCAAGCTATTTATTCAGCAGTCTGTGATTCCTTGGCTGATCCGTGTTTTTTTCTGCGGAATCATAGCACAATTTCAAAACTACGACTTTTTCGGTCTTTGCAAAAATTGCTATTTGTACCGTCCAAAAGACGTATTCATCTAGAAAAACAAATTAAAAATATGATATTTCCCAATCATTACATCCACAGATCATCAATTGGCCCTTTTCCAAATTGTGGACGCACTATATTTTGTAAAAAATATATGAATTCAAAACATGTTGATTTTAGAAACTATGCTAACTCGTATATGTTTAGCTGTATGGGAACTCCGGATATGCGGATAGATATTATCCGGATATTTGTGATCCATTTATCCGTGTATGATTCCGGACACCGGATATCTGGATTATGGATAGATCCGGACTAGTCTCAGCACTATACCACTCGAACTTTACCATGAAACAGTGTTTTAAGATGATTTCTTCTAGAATGCCGGCTCCCTTGGCACTCCCTAAAAAATCTGCAATTTGAAAACTCATTTCCATCAAATCTGCGGTGGTTTATGAACAGTCCCTAATTCTGTTATGCATAATATTTTACTAGGTGATCCGTAATATTGAAAAAAAGTCATATCTACGGGCTTCCACAATCTAAATTCAATTATTTTGAAACTTATCTCATAATTCCAATGGAGTCTCGAATTTCTCATGTAACTCTCCTTAGAAATCCATTTAAATTTGAGTTGCATTTGTATTCCATCGAAATTCATCTCAAAATACTCGTAAACTCATCAGATTTTGCCAATTTTCAATTTATTATGTAATATTTCACATATTTTTTGGACTGATCATAAACATGATTTTGGTTTTGATCATTATCATAGTAACTACAGTAAAGTATCACAATTTCACGCACCTAAATCCTTTATTTCGTGAAGTTTTGATATATTCTTATATGATGTTTAATGTGGATATTTTCATTTGAGCTGAATATGTAGATAGGTATTATTGAGCTACTGTACTGTGAACTCACTCAATATGCTTGCCAACTGTGAGCCAATGTGAACTGTCAAACGGGAGCCAAACATTCAGAAATACACCATATATTGTCGTAACTCATTATTAATTATAAGCTCACTTGCAGAAAACAACAGGCTTAGTGAAGAAAGCTTAAAACCAGCACAGTTTTGATGGCTAAGTTGAGTTACAGTTCCAATAAAATATACTCTGGCGAAACGAGAATGTAAACAAACCTTATTAGATTCATGGAGACATTGAGTTCGCAGTACCCAGTTATAGTCTAGTGAAAGGGAAAAATATAAATTTAGAAAATATCACGGTACACTACAAAATATTGGCAAAATGAGCAGAGTTAGGCACCGAGTGAAATTATGGAACTTCACGGTACATATTAAATTTTTACATCGTCTGGACAACTAGAACCGAAGGTGGAGCGATATTTGTGAATTTAAACTGTAATCCCCATACAAACTTAAATCTTTAAACCTTCATTAATATTGACATTTTTTCACTCAGACTCATAACTTGCACTGAGACAAAACAACGTAAGAATTCTATAAGATCCACTTATGAATTTCAGCCACAAGAAATCGGTATGAATTTCACTGATTTGCCTCATGAAAAATAATGTTGACAAAAAAAAATCATAAAACGGAGCAGACTGGAACCGAACCATGGACGATGAAATTACGGGACCCGTTTGTTGACTACTCGTCTTACATTGCTTGGGAAAATAAAATGGTTAAAGGCGTATACCTCATGTTAGCCGAAAATCATTCATAAGTCACGCTTATGAAATTCTTATGTAACGTTCATAAGTCGAGCCTTATGAAATTCTTAAGTTTATTTGCCTCAGTGTGGGGCTATGAATCAAACAGGAGGATAATTGCAAATACTTTGTACAGAATGAAGTTTACCAGACCTTAAGGTCTTGTGGGGTTAGTCTTGAACTCATCTCCGTCGATTATTACACTACTGCCTATGCGAGCTCTGTAGCGCTCGATTCATGATGCCAACAGATACTTTGTCTTCACTCTATGACGTATTCACATTTAATCTACCTTTTTTTTTTTAATAATTACTTTATTTGTACAGGCTCAATCGAATAAACTTTACAGAGCCGAGTTATCCTTTGCGTTATACATTATTACTGTCTTAAATTTAAAGTTAAAGGAACTGGACCGAGTACTCGCGGTTGTCTCGAGGTTAGTGGAGATTTACAATTTTTTGGATGGGAAAAGGGAAGAAGGAGGTTTGAAATGTGGTTTACGATACAACTATTTAATTAATCCTAAAGCATGAAATTATTTCTATTCCTCTTGAAAACAAACATTGAAAAAAAACCCACACGTACAAAATACAAACTAAACACAAGGTTAATCAAACTTACAATCTAAGGTTAATATCCTTAAAGTAAACATATATGAGTTTCATAAACTCCAGATCGCGTCTAGCCAAAATATCCCGAACTGGAACATTAGGTTGTCTACCTCGAGCCCGAAGGGAATCATAAAAATGTGATCTGACTCCACGATACTCCGCACAAGACCAAAGGATGTGATCAGCGTCCTGGTAACCTTGTCCACATTCACAGAGATTGCTGTCTCCCAACCCCACACAGAACAAGTGAGCGTTTAGACAATAGTGATTGGACATGAGACGAGACATCACGCGTATGAAGTCTCGACTCAAGTCCAACCTTTTGAACCATGCAAACTTCGACACCTTAAGGATAATTGAATGTAGCCATCGTCCCAAGCTCCCTTCACTCCATTGATGTTGCCAGCTAACGAGCGACTGCTGACGATAAATAGAGAAAAATTCACTATAGGCGATCTGTCGATCATAAATGTCGCCTTCCATAGCGCCCACCCTCGCAAGTGAATCCGCCTTCTCATTGCCCAAAATTGAGCAATGCGAAGGGACCCACGCGAAGGTGATGATGAAAGAGCGCACGGATAAAGTACTAAGCAGTTCTCGTATTTTCAAGAGAAAATACGAGAAGTGCTTTACCGGCCTAATGGAACGGATATTTAGCCTCGACAGAACTGAGACTATCCGTAAAAATAAAGTAGTGGTGTGGAAGAAGTGAAGCAATAGTTTCCAAAGTGTAGTGAATTGCTGCCAGTTCAGCCACATACACAGAACAAGGAGCTTCAAGTTTTCGAGAGACGCTATGGAATTCATTAAATACACCAAAACCAGCGGACTCCTCTATTAGAGATCCATCTGTGAAAAACGTTCTTGCAGAATCAACATGGCCAAACTTTGCAGCGTATAATGACGGAGCAATCATAGGACGATGATGCTCTGGAATTCCGCGGATTT